GTGAGGAGCCACCGCTTTATACTTTGTACAACTTAGGCGCACGAAGATCCGGCCTGCAAGGAGGCTCTTGTGGAGCTGGAGGCTGGCGTTGAGTGGTGTAAGTTTCAGCTTTCTAGATTCAGGTTTCAGCATCTAGTTGCAAAGTTTCAGGTTTCAGGAAACTGGTTTCAGATTTCAGGTTTCAGATTTCAAGTTTCAGATTTCAGATTTCAGATTTCAGATTTCAGATTTCAGGTTTCAGATTTCAGGTTTCAGATTTCAGATTTCAGGTTTCAGCTTTCAGGTTTCAAGTTTCATTTTTCAGATACCATGTTTCAGGTTTGTTGATTCCTGCTTCTTGTTTCTGATTCATCTTTTTCTTCGCCTGCAGCTTGCGAAGAACTGCTGATCCAGCTGGTAGCTCAACGCATCGCTGCTGCAGACTGCGCGCGCCGCGGTTGGGTCTTAGACGGAATTCCGCAGACGGCTCGTCAGGCGTTGTTGCTGCGGGAGCACAAAATTATTCCCGACTGTATTCTGCTGCTCGAGGCCCCTGAGGTCGGCCCACCTACAGCTAGCCATGCTACCGTTGCACACTGCAGCGGCTAGCTGCAGCTAGCCGTGATGAATTCAAGCACCTGCTGATGCTAGCTACCTTCAACGAACACACTGGCGATACCAGTAGATACAGCTTGGCAGCTGTTCATCGAATTCCTTTTGGCTGCCTATGCATGATTGTATATGATGTCGTTCTTGATTCTGCATTTGTTTATTCCGTCTGTCTGCGTTGCATTTCGGTTTTTGTCTGTTCAACTGTTAGTCCTTCTGCTTCTTCTGCTGCTGTATTTCTGAGGATCGTCGTTCTTATTCACTTTTGTTTGCAGGGCACTTTGGTAGACAGAATAAAGAAACGCAAGGCAGACAGCGACAGTGTGAGGTGCTGCAGCGCCGCGTGTTGCTCTGTACCATGATGTTGCTGCTACTGCTGCTGCTGTTGCTTTTCGCCACTGCTACTGCTGCTGCTGCTGCTGCTGCTGCTGGCGCTCACCAGCAAACGGGTACTGATACGCAGAGGCAGGAGCGCCACGCGTTCATGTGGATGCTTGCAGAAGTGCTCTGAGGGGGCGCAGGCAGACAAAAACCAGCAACAGAAGGACGCAGCCAGGCTAGTGGAGCTGCGGTAAGCAGCAGCAGGAGCTAGTGCTGCTGCAGCAGCAGCAGAAGCGGCATCAGTAGTAGCTGCAGCCGTCCCCGACATTAGGAGCAGCAGCGCTAGCAGGAGGGGCTACAACAACAGCAGCAACAGCAGCAGCAGCAGCAGCAGCAGCTGAGGTGCATGCAGCTGGGGCTTAAGATATGCAAATATGTTGTCTTCAGAACCGCACAGCTGGAGCGATGGCTGCCGCAAATCCGCGAGGTCTTCCCAGGGAAGCTGACAACAATCTGGTGAGGAGTGAACACGCAGCACCCCCCGTCAGCCACAACGAGCTAGCTAGCTAGCTAGCTAGCTAGCTAGCTAGCTAGCTAGCTAGCTAGCTGGAGGGCTGCGCTGCGAGCTTGCTTGCGGGCTGGGTGGAAAGCTGGCTGGATGGCTAGTTAGATGGGTAACTAGCTAGCTGGATGTGTAGCTAGCTAGCTAGCTAGCTAGCTAGTTGTGGCGTGCGGTGTATCTGCTGCAGTGCTGACGATGTCGTCTCCATCGAGTCGGTTAACCAACGAATGCTGGAGTTCATTGCAAAGTAAATAAACCCCTAGAAGCAGCTCTCTAAACCCTAAACCCTAAACCCTAAACCCTAGACACTAAACCCTCACCCCTAAGACGCATTCATCTGCCTAGCAAACGTTTAGAAGTTATAGATTAAACCCTAAACCCTAAACCCTTAACCCGACGCCGCAACCCTAAGAGTCAGCAGCAGCCCGATGATCCTTGAGGCCCACAGCGGCAGATACGCTAAACCCTAAACCCTAAACCCTAAACCCTAAACCAGAGGCCTTTAGACCCTCAGATCCATGTAACCCTGGACGCTGTATGCTGTAAACCCTAAACGCTTATGCCTGGCGCGATATCTATAACTTCAACATCGCTAAACCCTAAACAAGCATAAACCCTCACCCTGAGGACTTCACTATCCCTGTCTTCGCCTTCCACTGCTGCTGCTGCTGCTGCTGCTGCTGCTGCTGCTGCTTCTGCATTTGCAGCCACCGCATGCCCCCAAGAAAGCAAATCTGATCGCCAACCAGTTACTGGACGCTGCTGCTGCTGCTGCAGTTGCTGCAGCTGGGCACTTCTTCAGCGGCCTCGCAGCAGCGGGGCGATAGGATTTGCTGCAGCAGCAGCAGCAGCAGCAGCAGCAACAGCAGCAGCAGCAGCAGATATTTGAACGGCCTGAGCCGGCCTCATCTATTCTCTTTTGTTGCACCTCACGCAGAA